CTGTTATCAATTAAATTTATTAATTTACAGTGCAAAATTACAACTGTAATAAATAATTGTATGAGATTGATGTTTAAACAAATACAATTTTAATTTTAATTTAAATTCAAATTTAATTTAATTTAACTCAACATTTTTACCTCAGTACGTTTCTTCTCTGAGTTTTTTTGTGTGTGCTGTTATGCTCATTTGTTTTGATTTCTCCACTAATGTCTCTCTCACAAATAGACAGGCAGCGCAGCTACCAGATCGAAATACACTATCCATTACCAATCGCTGTTTACACTGACTGTATAAGATTAAAATCATTCTCTAGTTTCGATCGGTCGGGCAAGTAAAACTCTCTTTCACTTGAAACTTAAAAAAAAAATCCACTTTTCCCGGACAAGCAGACAAGTGTTAATGTCGAGCCCTGTGTTCATTCTCGATTTTTTTCGTGCTGTAAAGCGGAACAGATGATCAGGGGCCGTATTCACAAAGAATTTTAAGGCTAAAAGTAGCTCCTAACTGGCGAATTTAGGAGCAACTACTAAAAATAATGGGCGTGTCACTCCTAACTTTAGGACTCCTAATTTTTTTCACTAAGAGTAATTCACGAAGCATTTTAGCCCTAAAAGTAGCACCTAAGTCTGGGACAGCTTAAAAGAAGTCGAGAGGACTCCTAACTCACTAAGACCTATTCACAAAGGATTGTAGCGCATACCACCACCTCTCGCAGTCGTCCGGGGTCCGCGACACAAGCGGGAATGCTGCATTGATCTGCAAACAAATCCTCTCATATTCTCACGCTTAGTTTTGCTTGATATCCCAGTGCCGAATTTCTCTTTTATTATGTTTTTTTTTTTTTTCAGCAGCCATAACTGATCCTGCGTCCAGTTGGGCTTTCTTTTCCGTTTTGGCGAATCCACCGTCATTCAACTATTATGGTGTGTTCACACCGAACGCGAATTTAATTATTTGCGCGAGTAGATTAGATACAAAGTCAATGCAAAGACGTGAATAGACGCATCATTCGCGCCGGGCGTTACGAATGACGCGAATTGGGCGACGCGTTTGCCGCGAATGTCTTCCGCGCAAGTTGAAAAATTTGAACTCGAGCGAATGTTCAAGCGTCTAACTAGACGCGATAGATGCGTATTTGACGCTCTATTCGCGTTCGGTGTGAACACACCATTACATTAGCTACTTCAATAGGAGCAACATTTCCTTGCTTTAAGTAGTCTATTTAGGCTAATAGAATGTCAATTAACCAAGCAAGTGTTAATGCAAGTGTCGTTTTTCATTATTAGGCAAGTGGCGGTTTTCATTGGGGTATTAGCTAATAATTAGCTTAAAAATAACCAAACGGGAACCAAAAACTAACGTTAGGGGAACATTATGTGTTAACTGGGAGGCTACCTTGATTTAATTTAATTGAATTCACGACTTTAATTGAATTCTCTCTCTGCCTTTTTAGAATTACACTTCACTGGGGCCTGCACAAACATGTCATTATATATGCATTTCGATGACATTAGTACTATTATTATTTTGTGTAGGACATGATTTGTGTTATGCTCCGCATGATGGCCCTGTCATCTAACAACCAATCACCGTGATCATTGCGAGGAAGCTCGTGCATGAGAAGTGATGTCATCCATAGCAACGAAGACTCACTCTTAGTTTAGGAGTTGACATTTTTCCTTACTAAGAGTAGGTCTGAAAGGCGTTGTGAATAACTTTTAAGAGAAAACTCCTAGCTAAAATATTTTAGTGCGATTTAGGAGTACTCCTAGTGGTAGGATACAATTTTTTGTGAATACGGCCCAAGGTCATGATGTGCGCTCGCGCTGCCGTTTGCCTGAATTGAGGCGCTACAGTGATACGTCTATGGTCTCACTCCAGTCTATATTAAATAAGCAAATTGTTATTGTGAAGTTTATTGTGCTTGCAATTTATGACTTCGGGAGGGGCGGATGTGCGCGTACACGTGTCATTCAGAACACAAGACAAAATAAGAGTGTTCTTGCAAAACAGAACATGGCAAAATAATCGTTTTTACTCGATTGTACTATTTTGGTGATCGCTGGGAGCCAAAATCGAAATCGAAATTGAAATTCAATTAATTGCACAGCCCTACAATAAAGTACACCAATTAAAACATGAAACAATAATGAATATACTTTCAAATGACACCGCAAAGACTGGACAGTGATTATAGTGCTCCACCTCAATCTGACACGCACACATATTCTACAACTCAATAGTTGTCTTATAGTTGTAATTTTGACTTGTGGCCTGTATGTGTGTGTGTGATGCAGTCAGTACAGTTGGCTAATGTCAATGAGATATCAATACCCCTATCATCCTCTACCATGTCCTTTCTGTTCATCTTGTGGAAACTGCCACTGGTGATTCAAAGAGTATCCGCAATTTTTGCAGTCCTTAAGATGAATGGTTGGGGCTGGGAATGGAGGATCCTGTGACCAAAGAAATAAATGAAAAACATTTTCACTAAATACATTGTACAGCTTTCATTTTATAAGCACAGGCTAGAATAATGCAACATGACATGAAAATAAGAATGTAATGATAATAGAAAGCTATTTTGTTGGCTGAACAGCAACAAGAAAGGAAAAAACAAATAAAGCAAGTCAAAATGATATCTTGCCGGTTCAGTAACTGAATAAAAAACAAAATGGTAATTAAATGGTATTCACGCTTTCTTTGTGCAAGTTTGTGCAAAAAAACCGTCATACAGTAAATTACATCATAATAAAACAAAACACACTGTAGATGTCTTCACTTAAACTAGAATATTTAAACAAACAAAAGGGGGGTACATTTACAAAGAACTTTGACAAATATGATTTGTTTGTAAGTAGTAGGTTGCTAAAACACACCTTTTCTCATCAGAATTATAATTGTAAATGTACAACCTTTGACAGAGTTTTATAATGCAGTCTCAATTAAATGCCCCTAAAGAACAATTGCAGTGCTTTACAACTATAGGACAGGAAGAGCTGAAATCCAAAAACGTCTCAGGTTACGATTGTAACCTATGTTCCCTGAGAACAGGGAACAAGACACTGCGTCGACTGATGCTTTGGGGAAAGCCTCAGGCGTGACAGGTGACGAAATGACAATCAAATCACGGCAATCACATTGACCAGCGACAGCCCGTGAATCATTAGCGTGAATGATTAACGTGCGACCTGGAAGTATAAAAGGGCGCCTTACAAACATGACAATATCCTTTAGTCTGAAGGGACTGTTTGGTAGCCAGGCATGACGAGAAGACGCAGTGTCTCGTTCCCTGTTCTCAGGGAACATAGGTTACAGTCGTAACCTGAGACGTTCCCTTTCGAAAGGGAACTTGCACTGTGAGCCAATGACGCTTTGGCTAACGATATACCCATGGCGCCATGCTAAGGGGAGTGCATGCCCATTGGTAGTGACAACTGTCAGAACCATCAAATTCAATGAAACGCTAGAACCATGAAGGAAAACCTCCATGAACATAGTTTAATGAAAGGCCTACCTGGGCCTGCTCAAGGGCCTAGGACCACAACTTCAAGTTAGAAGGGGTCCCTCCTAGGGAATGTGGCTAGGGAACCCGAGGGAACCCCAGCCAGTCACTATTCAGGGGAAAGTACCACCTGAAATGCCACCAGGAAGGCCTGACCTGGTGTCACTTACATTGGACGCATCAGTCTGGCCACTTCCTGTCTGTCGAAGACAGAGCCTCTGGACACTTGCCTTTAGGTAAAGCATCCAACCCGAGGGACTGCGAAGCTGGCAGTGAACCACTCGGCCCGGATCTCAGAGACGAGGTATCCCGGAGAGCATGACTCAGCATAGTGATTACAGCCCTAGCTAGCCAGGGGAGTTTACTCTGCTCGATCCAGAGATCTACCCAGTGCTTATGTTTCAAAGCACTGAGGAGGCCTGGGAAGTCTAACTGGGAGGCCTCACGAGAGGCCTATGACCGTCCGACCAGACTCAGGAGTCCGAGTACTCATAGTGACCCTCGGTGAGGGGAGCACATGGTCCGCCTGGTAGGCAAACCAGGCTGTAAGCAGGATAAAAGAGGTTCCAGGAGGGGAACCAGTAGCAGAGAATGAACACTTTAGTCGAGCCAAGGCGCAAGCTCGCCTTCAGCAGCTACCTGTTAAGGCCAGCTGAACTGATAGCAAGCAGCCACTAGCTTCCTGAACCCAGCACCACCAATAGTGTCTGGCTGCAGACTTGCAGTTGCACTCTCAGACTTGCACTCTCAGACCTGCACGCTCAGACACGAGCGCTTCCTCTGCAAGTGACTGGCACTGTGCAATCGACACAAATTGTGTCGAAATGTTTCCAGCAGTTCAGTCGCATTGTATTGACGCTGTTAATGTACTTACGTGCTATAACGCCACCGAAATTTCCCCCCAAAAGTTATATTTTGCAGCTTGCGTTCATCGAAATTTTATGTTATATTATTTATTTGCCATTCAAGTAGGCAAATACTGTTTTAATATAACAGCAAAGCTAATGACCATCAAGGATACAAAGGAACAATCAGGTTTATACAATTTAAAAACAAACAAACAAAAAAACATCAAGATGATGGAATTTTTTTCTTTTTATTGTAAATGTCAATTTACACATCAAAAAAACGTGCAAAATAGCCAAATACAACATACAAATAGACAATATACAATTAGTACAATTTAAAGAAACCACTTTATACCCCTTCCATATATAAAAAACACATTGGCACATTATGCACTTTCCCCTATTGCACTTCGACAGTTTACCTTTAATTTCATGACATCAACTACATATTCAAGAAACATTTGCATGTCATTCATTTGCAACATTTGCAAATCTGGCATCAATCGACTCTGTGAAATAACACAGTGATCAAGGGAGATACAACTGTGATAAACCATACACATTGACAACAAAAACCAAAACAAAGCAACAACTATTTACAATTATTATGACTTTGTTGCTAGTCATGTAACAAAACAGTGTACCTCTTATGATGATCCTAGTGATTCTAGTGGTGCATCCCCCAACACAGGATGCAGTACATCTCCCTAACAATATATAAAATACAAAGCAATTAATATTACATTTAAGTCTGTGTTAACTTTATAACTTTTTATTTAAAGATAATTAGCTTTTTTTCTGAGTACCAACTGCACAGTACCTGTGATGATAATTCCTGAACCCGATGTTGTGGCTCTGCCTGTAAGTCAAATACCACAGCATAAGCAAATCAAACATTCACAAGGTAATATGACATTTTAAGTGTCATATCCCCTAGTATATGCTTTCACCTGAAAGGTCTCCTCAAACTTCCTTTTCTTTAGCCTAAAAACTGGTTGTCGATCACCCAGCAGGAAGGCTTTAGACTCCTCAGTAAAGTGTGCACAAACCTTTTCATAGCTGTAAAGCATGACAATATTACACATTGTTCCATTATTTATTTGTTTATAAAAAAAAAAAAAGAAATACTGTACCTATCCAGACCATAGTTCTCCGTCAACATCACACACCACCATATCCGCAGTTCTGGCATGTCCAGCTGCACAAAACATGAAAGCAATTATAACCCTTGGCATTTTAAAAGCACACTGACTCAACATTATTGTAAACGAGTTCTCACAATTGTGTCGTCAAATGAGGAATCCATCACCAGGTAAAATGCAGACTACAGGGGGGAAAAAAACATGATGAGGCAAAAGAGAATTAAAAATAGCCAGATGATGAACAAACAAAAAATAATCTTACCATTAACATGAAGACACCGCAGTCATTACCATACGGTTGCCCTGGAAACCCCTTTAATATAGCAAAATACATTAGTGACTAAAATTTCAATGAGTAACACTTTGAAACTTGATCAAATTTACCTTTAAATCAAGGCCTGTCTTTTCAGCCCATTTCCCAGGCATTATCCTGTTCGCAATATCCCTGTTGATTACAGATTGTGTTCTTTTTAACATTAGCAGCTTTTTCTTAACCTTTTTACACCAGGGCGTTATTTACCTTTATAAAGGACAATTTTTTAAACCTTACTAAATATATGCGTTATCTTTCATGTCAAATTCTTACATTTGATCAAATTCAGTTTTAATAAAAAGGGCTTTTATCAATTAAATTAATTAATTTACAGTGCAAAATTACAACTGTAATAAATAATTTTATGAGATTGAAGTTTAAACAAATAATACAATTTTAATTTAAATTCAAATTTAATTTAATTTAACTCAACATTTTTACCTCAGTACGTTTCTTCTGTGAGTTTTTTGTGTGTGCTGTTATGCTCATTTGTTTTGATTTCTCCACTAATGTCTCTCTCACAAATAGATAATAACCCATGCACATTTAAATCTGTAGAACAGTTTCTCAAACTGGGTTCAGTGAAAGAGCTAGGGGTTCCATTCATTTTTAAATATGGCCTGCAACTATGTAGAATGAACTGTAGATAACATTAGCATGATATTGATTACAAAATGAGCTTGAATCAGATAGGGATCCCCTAGTACTCTCAGTAACCTCTGAGAAACCCGTTCAAGAATACAATGAGAACAAACCTTAATGCATAATATAGGAAAATAACATCTGAACAATTCATACAATACTACGAACTTCATGAAATAAGTCACAGAACTGTGACTATTAGTGAACAACTGAACATACACACATTGTCAGATCACACAGATTTCTCAGACCTTAAAATGAAACAAAAGTGTTTAAATCTGAAATCATCACTAATGTAAAAAAACGTCTGACAAACCTGAAGTACATTAGAACAAGTACAAACCTTCATACAGTTGAAAAAACGCTCCAACTGAACAATCCCTGAAATAAGATGATCTTGCAGCGTAGAGACAGGTCATATGAACGTGACCTTCTCTGAACAAAAGCGCAACCGTGCATTTTAAGTAAATTTCTCCAAAGACCTCAACAGAGCTTTGTATCTCTGGTTACCAAATCCGAGTGGTGTCTCAGAACATTTAGAGTCTAAAAAGAGAATTAATTTTTGGGCTGGCTTCAAAACCTAAAGAAAAGTACAGTATTGTTTTTTCCATAAATAACATTATTAACAGCACCAGTGGTGGAATGTAACGAAGTACAAATACTTCGTTACTTTACTTAAGTAAATTTTTCACATATCTTTACTTTACTTAAGTAGAATCAATAGTGCATACTTATTACTTTTACTTCGTTACATTTTGCAGCAATTATTATACTTTCTACTCCACTACATTTCTACAACGTTCTGTTACATTTTCGGGTAACACTTTATTTTAAGGTGCTTGTAATAAGCAGTAATTAACAGTTAATAAGACACTTATAAGACCTTATAAGATGCATATAAGATGCATATAAGCATTAACTAATGATAATAAATAAATTAAATTAAATAATACATTTCTCAAGTATCAATACATTGCACTTTTTAGAACCGCCGAACAAACATAAATGGTAACACAAACTCCCAGTGCCTTAAAAATTGACCTTCCCAAGAGGGAGTAGTTTCCCTGATCTCTTCAGGGCCTGGACCTTTAATTAACCTTTATATGAAGTAGTTAATGCTTATATGCATGTTATATGCATCTTATAATGTCTTATAAGTGTCTTATTAACTGTTAATTACTGCTTATTACAAGCACCTTAAAATAAAGTGTTACCCATTTTCGTTACATTTTCTGATCAGTTTTCCCCTGCCAAAACGTCATCCTGACCGTCCGTTCGTCGCACGTTTGTCTCACCAGTGAAGTTTGGTTGCCATATCAACCCGGTCACACTAAATGCGTCTCTATAGCACGCAGTGTGTTTATCGTGCAATTTATACGCGGAAATTTGTTTTTACGTGCGGATACGCATGGGTAGGTTTAGTAGTGGTGTGGGGTGCGTGTGTAGCCTATTATACGTTTGGTTAGGATTAATATGGCAAGCCAAGAGGTTCAGAATTACGCCATTAATTAATCGCGTTTACAGCCAAACCCCGTCAAATTAAGCTTGATGTGTATATAGCCTAATTGCAAGCTTGTTCAGAAATGGTGACAAAAACTTAAAAAATAACGGCTTTTCCATCATTATTGAACATCATTATAGGATTATTAGGTTGAATGAGTTAGGATTAACTGTTTTATTAATCATTAGAATATAGTAGTGCTGGGCAAGTTAACGCGTTATTATCGCGTTAACGCATTTATTAATTAATGCCGACAATTTTTTTATCGCGCGTTAACGCAGAGGTTTTTTTATTATTATTTTGAAAGTCCGTTGCTCACTGCCTCTGAATACACATAGGCCTACAGTCAAACCATGATCACAGGAGGGGTGGGATGTTGGTCAGCCAGCAAATAACCCACCCAAACAAGCAGTGGAGAGGCTTTGGCAGGTTCTCTCAGGTGAACAGAAAGGGAGACAGCGCTCCGCGAGTGAATGACAGGCGCTCTATGGATAGTAACCATGGCACCGGCTTCTGTGCGCTACGCAGCTGTAGCCTTTTTAACTTAAATTAAAATTATACATAACTTTACCTGATGGCCTGCGTTTAGTTTAGCGGGGATGCTCTGCCATGTGAATTCCCTCCTGTTGATGTCCTGATAACTATTAAGATTCTGGAACCTCACAAACAGCGAGCCGAGGATCAGTCTCTCTTCCAATGATTTGTGCTGCGCGTCGTGTACAAAAAAGTTAGACAATTCAACTTCGGCAACGCGCGGGCGCGTGCGTGAGGCGAGCATGACTGCAACAGTTTCACAGGAACGCACCCGCTTGTCGCTTTACCTGTGCTCGACCACTTCACCTCACTCTAGGCTGATTTATACTTCTGCGTCGGACTTACGCCGGAGCCTCTACGCTATAGACAACGCGTTGGTTTTCATTTATATATCTGCGTCGTTGTCCGCGTTGACGCGCAATTACACATGAGGGAGAGTGTGAAACCCGGGGAGCGGTTCTAGCAATCACAGCGCTTGCGGTACGCGTAGAATTGACGTTACATTTTTGGAGAGATGCACGTCAGGGTACGCGCGCTACAGCTACGGCGTGAGTTCGATGCAGAAGTATAAATTGGGCTTTACCTCTGTTTAATGTAATCTTACGTGGGAAACCATGGCATGCCATGACCAAACCTAAGCTGCTATCAGAGAAGTAACGTTGGTCGACTTATATCTGTAGTAGTGATCATGACCCTTTGACTACATAGACTGTTTCTGCTGCTCCCTGATACAAGATACCTGTTCAGAAAAAAACCCCAAGAAAACTGGACTCATTTTAACAAGCTAGATAAAAGGTAATGCCCTGGCAGTGGCAAATAGCTTTGTTTAAATATTTGATTTGATTACATTAATGTTTAAGTTGAGATTTACAAGAAATATTTTATTGATACTGTGTAAAGGGAATACTGCTGGTATAAAAGCACCTTATTTGTTTAAAGTTTTTGCAAACCACATGTTATTGCACTTTTGTAGCAGTACATTTAAATCAAAAGTGCGCAATACACTACTAGAATTCATTATTCAATTTTGCGCGTAATAATGCGATTAATCGCGATTACATTTTTTAATCGTTGCCCAGCACTAGAATATAGACATTAAGAGAAGAAATTGTTATGCAAGTACTTTTACTTTTAATACTTAAAGTACATTTAAAATCAGGTACTTTTTACTTTTTACTTAAGTAGGGTTGTCATTGTGGTACTTCTACTTTCACTAAAGTAAATATGTCTCTGGTTATTTGTACTTTTACTTAAGTACTGAGATTCAGTACTTCCTCCACCACTGAACAGCACAAATTAATTTGTGTGTTTTCACATTCTACAGAATTTTTATTTATTTTTTATTTTATTTTTTTAATGTGTACATTTACATCTATTTGGTACTTTCTGCAGTTATACATGCACTGAAATCAAAGCACTACGGGTGTAACGGTCACCAGCTGGAGTGCCCTTGAGAGACACCAGAGGGCACTCCACACCAGACGATCATGTTTCACTCACAAACTACATTTCCCATAACTCACTGCCCGGACTCATGCCGTTTCTCATCATCAAATTAATCCGCTACTATAAACATTGGTAACCATAGTAACAGAGTTACTCTTGCAAACAGAGTGAGAGAGAGACACATATGAAAACGTTTATTTAGGTAGGCTCAGAGCCATAGATTGAAAGAGTTGCGACGCTCTTTGATGTCGCCGCGATGGCAGACACGTGGTTCATGTAAGCCCCAATAGTTCCAAAACCAACCCGATCTCACGACCAATTCGTCCGAATTTGACGAGTGATTAAAAGATGGCTAATTCGTAACAATTCGTACGAGTGAGGTCGAATTAGTATGATTTTTGCTAAAACGTACATATTTGACGAGTTGCCCAATTCGGATGAATTCGTACGAATGACCTACCCCTGACCCCGCCCCTA